GAATAGAATAGTAAGATTCTCATTGTGAAATGGTCAAAGATGATCTCCAGAGTCATTTCTCCAACATCTAAGAACCAGTGAAATCTTCAAGTAGCCGGAGTTGCTAAGATCACGTTGTGGTCCAGAATTTATAGTTCAAACCCCTCCCCGTGACAGGAAGTAGTAAAGTTTCTGTGACCCAAGGGACAAGCGCCCCTGGAAGTCTTATCTGTTCCGCTCCCTCCTGGTCTTTGTGGTTAGGATCTTTTGTTCTTATTATAAAGCTCATTGGCACCCATGAAGCAGAATTCTGTAGATCAGTTCAGCCCCAGTGCTCAGCTTTTACCCAACAGTTTCACTCTGATCGGAACACCTGACTGTTGTTGATAAACCCTGATGGTGCACGAAGTTAGAGGATAAACGAAGTCAAAGAACACAGGCAGCGCAATGGAGACGGGCCGCTGTCACCCCGAGTAAGCTCACGGGGCCAGAGGCCATCAGTGCAGTCTGACCAGGAGCCACACTGGGGTACAGCTTACTGACAAATTGGCATGAACGTGAGTCAACTGGAAAAACATGGAGAGCCCGCCTAACATGCCCAAGATCCTCATCCCTGCTTTAGCCCTCTGCCTGAGGGATCACGGGAAACAGGAACTCCACCACAGACTTCTTTTTTTTTAGTTGTTTTGAGACAGGGTCTCGCTGTGTAGTTGAGACTGACCTGGAACTCACTGTGTAGCCCAAGCTGGTCTTGAACTCACAGTGATCTTCCTGTCTCAGCCTCCCGAGTGCTGGGATTATAGGCGTGCGCCACCACACCCCGCCTCCATAGACTTCTTAAATTGAAAATATTGTAGATGGAAAGAAAAGGCAGTCATCTACCCAACTTACCAAACACTATGACTTAGCAATGTGGCATGCTGGTGTTTTGGTTTTAATTTTCATGGTGTTAGAGATGGAACTCAGGGTCCTGGGCAAGCGCACTCCCCCTGAGCTGTGCTCTGGGTCAAAGCGCACTGTTTTCTGTGTGTGTGTGTGTGGTGCTGGAATTGAACCGAGAGCCTTCACACTGAGCTACACCCTCAGCCCTTTTTTACAAGTTGAAACCCAGCTTCCTGGGGGTCCCCCTGCTGTTGGCAGCAGCACCTGTACCCCAGAGAGAGCAGGTGAGGCCCGCTGTGCTGCAGGGGACGCAGGGGCCACCAGGGGGTGCTGTGGTAGCTGGTGCCCTGAGGGGAGGCTGCAAGCTGGCAGCTCAGGAGAGGGTTGGATGTGGGCAGCCTGTAGCCAAGGGAGCTTCCAGGTCTCTGGTGAGAGTCAGTGATCTTGCTGGGGGGCCTGGGCCGTACTTCACAGCAGGGCTAACGATGCAAATAGTCACTTGTGAGATATCAGAGAATTGAGCTGTTTTATTTATCTTTGCTGCACTAGGGGTTGAACCCAGGCCTCTGCACTGAGCTACATCTCCAGCCTTTTTAAAATGTTTTATTTGAGGGACAGGGGATTTAGCTCAGTGGTTCTGCCACTTGCCTTGCAAGTGCAAGGTCCAGAGTTCGATCCCCAGTACCCTCCCCACAATAAATTTGTTGTTGTTGTTGTTGAAACAGTGTCTCACAAAGTGGCTGAGTTGCCCAGGCTGGGTTTGAACTTGCGATCCTCCTTCCTCAGCCTCCCAGAGTGCTGGGATTGCTGCTGGGATGACAAGCACGTGTGACAGTCCAGCCCCCCTCCGGGGTGCCCAGCGCCCTGGCGGCCCTCGGGGAGTGTCCCAGGGGTGAACGATCAGCAGCTGTGTCTCCCTGGAGTGGCACCGTCCTTTCCCTTCCAGGAGGATTATAACCACATCCACGGGGGGAAGTGGACCGTGAGCAACCTGCGCCTCTACCTGGAGAGCACGCGCGGCAGGGAAGTGACCAGCAAACTGTTTGATGAGATCCACTGGATCATCGTGCAGTCGCTGAAGGCAGTGGCGGTGAGTGCCTGCTAGGTGGGCGGGCCCTGGAGGCCAAAGTGAGCTGGGCTCCCGGAAGTGGCCAGAGCCGGGGCGCTGCTGCTCTTTTGCTCAGGACCTGCCTTCCGTCTTTACAGGGGGCTGAGGGAGTTTCAGAAGGGAGTAGGGCCCCAGGGAGCAGGGGCTGGGCTCTTGACGGAGGTGCAGAATCCCCCGGCACCATTATCGACTTTTCTTATGCCAGCTACACTTATTATTTTGGTAGAAATGGATGATTTGGCTGGGCATGGTAGGGCATTCTGGCCTGGGCAACTTAGTAAGACCCTGTCTTAAAATTGTAAAAAGGCTGGGGATGTAGCTCAGTCAGAGTCCCTGGGTTCAATCCCTGGTACCACAACAAACCAGAAAAGAAAGGAGGAAAGGAAAGAGCAAGCTGTTTTGGAGATGGGCTTTCAGTAGCCTTCTTCTTCTTCTTCTTTTTTTTTAATCTTTATTTATTTATTTATTTA